CAAAACTCAGTTATTTAGAAAGTATTCAACTCAAGCAAAAGGTCAAACTTCATAGCACAAAAATAAGCAATCAGTAAAAGCACAAGTTTTTACAATTACACAGAAATTGTTGTAAGTACGCTTCTGATTCATGATCAGCCTAGTGTTTTTTCATTTGATTCAAATGCATTACATTCTTTTATTTCTGATGAATTTGCTGTTATTTTACATGTTGATATTATGCACTATATTCCTTCCTTGTTTATGGTGATGTCTTCAGGAAGTGGTTTTTATGAAAATAGAAATATGTCGTGCATGTTAATATTCATGATAAGAAGTCACAAACAGAGTTCATTATCATTCCAATTCAAACTTTTGATGCCATACAAGGAAAAAATTGGTTGGTAAAGTATTTTATTACAGTTGAATGCTGAAAAAGGTAGGTGAAACTAAATTCACCCGGTGAAAAGTCATTATTTATTTTATGTGATCGAAATGGACAATCTTCTCTGATTAGTGTTGTAATAAGTGAAAAATATTTGTGAAGTGGTAAGCAGGTGTTCTTAGTCAAATTAAAAGTGTTGAATAAAGATGCAAAGGGTTTAAAATGCATTCATGTGGTTGTTGAATTTTCTGATACATTTACTGTAGAATTGTTGGGACTACCACTAGAATGAGAAGTTGAGTTTGGCATTGTTGTGTAATCAGGTACATCTGCAATTTTCAAGTCTCCAAACAGAATGGCTCCAAAGAAATTACAAGAGCTAAAATACCAATTACAGGAACTGATAAATAAGATTTTTATCGGGCCAAGCAATTCGCCTTGGAGTGCTCCTGTATTATTTATCAAAAGAAAGACGGATCAAGACGGCTATGTATTTATTACAGATAGCTAAATAAGGTGACAGTCAAGAACAAATATCATTTGCCTAGAATCAACTATCTATTGATTAATTAGAAAGTGATACTATATTTTCCTGAATTGATTTGAGATTGGGATATCATCAGGTTAGAGTCAATGAGAAAAATATAAATATAAATTAGGAACCAAGTACGGTCATTACGAACTCTTAGTTATGTCTTTCGGCTTAACCAATGCTCGAGCTTTTTTTTTTTTTTTTGAGAAAGCCCAAGGGCTAATATATTAAAAAGAATAAATGATATAGATAAATTGTGTGAAGAGGGCCCAATCATGATACCCTACCCATACGATAAACACCACATACAAATAGTTTCAAAAAAAGACAATACTGAAAAAATACATGAGAACCCAAAAAGCAAAAGTGTCAAAACACGTAGTATCAGGTAGCTATAGAGCGACCCAATTTTACCCTGCCTCTGCCTCTAGTTCTAGAAAAGAAGCTAGCTAACAAATTGTTATGATGGGTGTCATTGTCAATAGTAACCAATGTATCGTCCAATAAGTTCTTAAGCTCGAGTCGGCCTCCATTTTTCTTCTTCCTCCTGGAATAGACCTGTCATTCCTCATCTGAAGATTGGCTCACCTGGACATGTGTAGATCGTTGAACATTAGAAACAATTACTTGTTGTACCAGTTGATCTTTTATTGCATCAAAGAAGCACTCTCGTATGTCTAAGCATGTAAGTGAGTCTTCTTCAATAACAGTGAGGTATAGACACGTTTTAATCAGTACTTGTAGTATGGGGAGATGCTTCATGGGACTCCAAAGTACCATGCTCAAAACCAGCAGCTAGAATAGTGTTCAAAAGCAGGAGCATCCAAGGGTATAACGGCTTGGTTATGGTGTTCTTTATTAGGAACATCATTGGTCAGATGAGCAGAGGTATATGCAGTGTTGGAAAGAGGGTCGGGTTGCACCTTCTCAGCAGGGATGGTAGGTGGTAAGACTTCCACCCCTAATTCAATATGAATAGATTTTTGAACAACCTTAGATGATGATGCAAGTGATAACAGATAGTAAAACTATAGTCAAACATACTGCAATGAGAGCAATAATGAGGGTGTGGTTTTATTTCAACCTTTTACCAATACTCGTTGTGAGTGGTTCCAATATATACCTTATCTGAAGTTGGTTGTGTGATATCTCTCTCAACTAACACACAAGCTACAGATGGTCTGGTGAGAGCAAACATAGGACTATCAACCTTGAGAGGCTTACCGTAAGCAAATGCTAAGGACTAGAGAATTTTCAAGTTGAACAGGAGTAGTTTTAACCCCAGAAACTTTATCCAAAAGGAAATGATAGTAGACTTTGCTTTTGGATCAAAATCAACAGTCCACTTCAAGATTTTCATTAAACAGTTGTCAATATTAATTATCTTACGAGAAAAAATACAGGCGTAATACGCATCATGAGATAACTGTCTAAATATATGTCAGACTTCAAGTAAGTCAATATTCCAACTACCCAATAGCTTCATAACATCAAAATCTTTCCGAACGATCTCAAGTTTTTAGTGACCAAAAAGGAATTTCCCCACTAGAGCAAAACGCCAAGAAGACGCTAGAGTACTGATTTCAACCTCAAAGAGAAAAAAAACAAGTTTCCCATTTTTTTATCAAGTTTTTCAATGAAAGTGTGATCACCACCACATTCAAGAGTCGTGGAAAGATTGTGAAAAATTGCAGAACTTATTGATACCAAAACTAGACTTTGAACCTGAACGAGGGAGCACAAGTAGGATTAGGAAAGTCGCCCGCAAGGGCAGAGAGGCATAGGAACGAAGCGTCGAGGCCATCTCCAAAGACAAGATGCCACGGTCAGATTCTGGAGCGGCTTTGTTAAAGCCGCATCAATCTGCGAGGCGATGCGAGCAGACTTCAGGCGCATTAAAATGTGAGACGAAATTGTCTGTCGAGCAGGAAGGCGACAGGCGCGTCGTCAATTAGGAGACGACGTGCGAACGTCTTCTTCGTCTTTGGGTAAGGAACAGTCAGACGTCGTCGTCTTCGGGTAAGGAGTAGTCAAACGTCGTCGGGCCGAAGAGAAGATTTGCGAAACATCGTCGACTGAGAGAACTGCGAGCGTACGTGAAATCGTCGGCGTGAGAGACGACAGAGAAAAGGAGAGAAACCGATATATTAAATGTCGGAAATCGCCATCGAGCGAAACTCTAGCAAATCCCGTTGTCGTCGTCGATGTCATCATATATATATATATATGTTGTATTTATGGACTTAATGAATCAAATTTTCAAGCCCTATGTGGATCGGTTTTTACTGATGATAATTTAATATATTCAAAAACTGACAACGATCATTCCAAACATCTAATATTATTGAGGTAGAATCTGTTATATGCAAAATTATCGAAATGTGAATTTTCGCTACGAAACATTGTATTTTTGAGGCATTTTATTAATGATCAAGGAATCTCAGTAGATCCTCAGAAAATGAATGTAATTGTGAAATGGCCTACTCCATAGAATGTTATAGAGGTACATAGTTTTCTTAGTATTGTTGGATATTACAAGATGTTCGTAAGGAATTTTTCACAGATAGCTATGTCTTTATCCAAGTTGGTGAGAAAAAACGTCCAATTTGAGTAGAATGCATAATGTGAGCATAGTTTTCAAAAGTAGAAGAAATGTTTGACTAATGTTCCAGAGATAGCTATTCCATTAGGTACTAAAGTATTCCAAATTTACAGTGACACTTCACTAAAAGGCTTGGGTTGTGTTGTAATGCAGATTAAAAAGGTAATAACATGTGCATCAAGACAGTTGAAGTCACATGAAAGGAACTATCTGACACATGGCTTGAAGTTAGTTGTTGTAGCATTTGTTCTCAAAATTTGACAACATGAATTGTACGGCGTGAAATATGAAGTTTTTATTGATCATCAGAGTCTGAAATATATTTTTACAAAAAAAAAAATTGAATGTAAGGCAACAAAGTGATATGGATATACAATATTGTTCTGGTCAAGCAAATGTTATTATGGATGCTTTGAGTCGTAAATCCACAGGTAGAGCAAGTTGGATTATTACTCATAAGTTGGATATGATTAAAAGAAACTGATCTTACAGTTGCATGTCAGAAAACTAGGTGATATGAGATATTTACATCAACTCACAGTGCAACCAACTTTAATAGAGGCATCTCAGAGAATAGAAAATATCCGAAACATTTGAAATTTCAATTAGTAAAGAGAGTCGATGTGACAGTTGATGAAGATGGTGTAATCAGAAACAAACTACAGTTATGGGTACCTGTTGATTCAGATTTAAGATAAAACATCTTACATAAAGCTCATCATTCATGCTACACAATTCATCCAGGTGGCACTAAAATGTACAAGAATTTGAAATTGAAATTCTAGTGGCCAGCTATGAAGAAAGATGTTGAATATTTATCTCAATGTCAAGCTTGTCAGATTGTAAAGTTTGAGCATCCGAAACCCAGTGAAATAGTACAATCATCGTTGATAGACTAGATGGAAATGAGATGAAATTGTTCAGAATTTTTCTATGAGATTTCTTCGATCCAGACATGGTCGCGATAGTCTTTGGATTATTACCGATAGCCTAACAAAGTCAACTCATTTCTTGTAAATCAAACAGATAGATACAGTTGAAAAGTTAGTCGGATTATATAAATGTTTTGTGACAGTCAAGTATCTATCAATATTGCTGAAAACACTATGCATCATGACAGAACAAAACATATTTAAATTGATAGGTGTTTTATCTCTGAAAAGCTTAACAGTGGAATCATACAGCTAAGCTATGTTTCGAAACGCCAACAAGTTGGTGATGTCTTCACCAAAACTCTTTTGTTATTGATTAGTTTTATTATCTTCTTATTTATGTTTATTTCAAAATTATTTCATTTTCATGTTTAGGCTAAATATATTTGGTAAGTTTGTAAATTACGAGGGACCGGTTTCTCAATATATATATGTAACCTTATAGTTGAAGATTTGAAATAAGAATTCTGGGAATTTCCTCTCAAGTTTTTCTTCAATACTATAAATGGAAATGTATCTCTGACCAAATTTGTTGCTACCGTAGTTGTATAAATTAGTGGGTTAACATACTTCAAACATGGCGTCAACTTTTCCACATTTTCCACAAGCAGATATCAAAGTGGTGTAAAGTTTACAATCAGGCTTCAGCCTAGCCTCTTTCATTAGCAGCATCACTTCAAAAGCTCCTGGAAAAAAAATGCAGTGAGCAAGCATTGGAAAATTCAGAGGGATTGTAACTCATGATTAATCATGTCTGCTAAAATATGGATAAGTGAGTTACCATCAAAATCCTGTGAGTTTGCACAGACAGATAAAAGCATATTGAATGTGCTCACAGTCGGCTTGTTGATCAGTTTACAAAAGCGAAAGGCCTCTTTGACTGCCTTTTGGCTCTTACAAGCATTAAGAAAACTTATGTGATGGACCTAAGAAACAGGAAGAGACAAGTAATCATTTATTTGATTGTAAATTGAAAGCAGGTATTAGAAATGATGATTCATTTTCACATATTTTGAGTATGAAAATGAAATCATTTTTGAATAATTTTGATTGTGGAGTTTAAAACATTGTTTTCTAATTGAATGCATTAAAATAACTGAAACCAAAGTTTAACCAAACAACAATATACGAACAAATATTATTACTGCAAAGGCCAATAAATGTTTACAACCAACACTACAGAAATAGAAAATAATAACATGTATATGGAGGATTTAGGGAGGTGGTGGTGATTGTTAGGAACTTAGAAAGGCGGAAGCAAAGTGGGAGGTGAGTTGGACAGTGGAGTGACAGCTGTTAGGAGTGGTCGAGTGCAGCTGGAACAGCAGCTTGAGGATTCTAGAGACTGCCACAGCAATAGGGCAGCAGGAAGAATGATTATGGACGGCTGGCAGCAAGGAGATGACAAGGGGGATGGTTCCAGGTGAGTCGGATAACAGCAGAAATGCCTGAGTAATGATTTTGGGCTGCTGGCAGCGAGGAGGCAAGAAGGGGGTAGTTCTAGGTGGCTGGAACAGCAGAAAATATGATCTTGGCGACTGGAACAGCAGCAAGTATGATTTTGGCGACTGGAACAGCACCAAGGACGTGGGAGGAAGGATTCTGGGTGACTGGCAGCAAGGAGGGGGAGGTTGAAGAGCAGGAATTGCAGGAAAACAGCTGGGATGTGGCTGCAAGAAGGTTGAAGCGAGGAAGAGTGCGTGGCAGCGAAGCAGGAGGGATGCGGAGAAGTTGAGGAAGGATAAAACCCACCTCAAGAGCAAGAAACAGACAGAGCGCCATCCGACCCTTGGAGGAGAATCACCACCTCGGAACGAGATTCAGTCGGCGCCACTCGCCTTCAGATATAGGACTAGAAAGAAAAATAGGCGATGTCGATGGCTATCCTGACAGAAACACAAGTGAAAAAATTGAAAACGCACAAAAAAGGAAAACACATATATAAACCCAAGATAATTAAGATTAGGTTCCTTCTGGAAAAGAGGTGTCAATCCCTCGTGGAGGAGTTGATCGGTCGTCCAAGGGCTAGATCGGCTCAATCCAATCATTTCAAGACGTTTAAGTTCTCCTGCGCTGCTGAAATCTCACATCCACATGCTCATTCCTGCATCATTCCCCGCTCTCGCGTTCGTGACTTCTCGCACCCAGGCTCCCGCATCAGTCACCCGGGGTCGGGGGGAGCTTCGACCTCATATGTCGAAGCTTCTAACTTCTCCTAATATGGTGTCAATTCGGCCACGTAAAGATGGTGGAGGTACCGTAATTTCTCAATAAGTCACACTTGGAGGCATTTTTATGCCAAAGCACATCTTGATAAAATAAGTATTCATCCTCTTTTGACCCGACCTAAACTGGAGTTGCATATCAGCGTAGATTTAGACAATATAACTCTTGAGGCATTAAATCTATAATGTCTCTTTCACTCGCACTCGACAGGGCACATTTGATAAACAAATTCATCTAGAGGAACTAACTATGAACATAATTCTATGACATAGGTTGGACCACACTGAAATATAACCACTCATGAGAGACCTCTTCTTCACTATAGGATATTTTTTCCCAAAGATCCTAAGACGATTTACAACATTGTGGTTCATCCATTATGTCTAATTAGTTGTCAATGAGTACACTGTTGAACTGATTTTAATACTCAAATGACTTCATATAGTTTTTCAGAAGTGACACAAAAGTGTCTTATCTCTTACAAGTTGGACCTCTCTCAATAGAAACAACTTAAGAGATAGACTATCTATCTAAAAATTCTGGAATTCTCTTATTTGGGGTTGCCATATGTTTGGTATCAGTTACTCAGACTTAGGACCTTCTAGGACCACAAATGCTATTTCTGTTGGAATCTCTCTCATGGCTCAGCTCAAACTACATGTTTTTCCCCTCATAAGTTAAAATCTGGTACTCTTTTGTGTCCTCACCTTCTTCAGTATCTACAGTGTCATTACCCATTTTTTTCAACAGCTCTCTGCTTAACGAAATAGATCATACCCTTGTTTGGGCAATTTGTTGCACTATGCTTAAAACTGTGGCACTTAACGCACTTTCTAGTTCGGATAAATTTAGGAATGTGGGTTAGTTTCACCTATTCTCCACTCCGAATCAATTTCTCCTCAAGTGAAGTCTTAGATGTTCCCATGAGCATACTTTTGTTGCTCGATCCTATGGTTGAACGTTGCCTATAAGGCATGGCAGTCATCCGTCAAAATTTGCATTTGCAGTAATATATCAATATATTACACAAAAGAGCTATAAAAGCTACATAAAAGAATTTGGCATTAGCCTCCACCATGCTCAGAAAGTTTCGGTGATGTTGCACTTCTGAAGCTAGGGTCTGAACATCCGGTCGGAAATAAATTGGTAGGTAATGGAGCTACATCTCCTAATTATTTTGGACTGGGTAATGATTTTCTCTTTTCCCGCACACCAGTGTAAGTGCTTCAATTTTTTTCACCAAAATAACGAACTCTTCAACTTGCTAGCGGCTAGTTCAATATTTTATCTAATAGAACTTCCTGGTACCCAATGACACACTCCATGGTTTGGAGTCACTCGATGACCTCATTCGAATCCAAGTGGCCATCAAAATATAGCAAATTCACTTTTACATCAAGATTCAGGCTCCTCTGATGTTTCGGGCCAACTCTTTAGGATAGTGGTTCTTCATCCCTAGAATATGCATGGTGGAAGAGATTAACTCCATTCCTTCATTTAGTAAGTAGTCGTTCTGGCTAAGGTTGGCTTGTCTGGATTGTCGCTCTCGAAGGTGGCAAGCCTTTATTGCAGTTAGAAAAGTTTTTGGACATCTCTTTGCAGATTCACATAAACGACAATATGTCATTTCCTCTCGATCGGGTCTCTGACCATTGCCTCGTCAGTGGCATGGCTAGGGTTTAGATAGGTGGAAAAATGTGTGTAGGGGTAATATAGGGTGGGAATGAAAAATTTTGCGTGGCCGGTTTGAAAATCAAATAAAGAGAAGGGTTTTGGTTGGAGATAGAATTGGGCATTAGTGGATGCTAAAAACCCTATGATAGAATTAGGGATAGGCTATCTATAATACTAAATGATACCGGAGTTAACCCAGGTATCAATAAGCAAACAAATACTATTTCTGCAAAAGCCAATAAGAGATTACAACCAACACCATGGAAACTAAAAATAACAACAGACACAACACACGACGCACGATTAGGGCAAATCTAGGGAGGTGGTAGTGACTATTAGGGACTTGGAAAGGTGGCGGCAAGGTAGTAGGTGGTTTGGACAACAAATAGCGGTTAGAGGTGGCCCGGAGAGGATGGAACAGCCATGAGGAGGAATCTGGCGGCAGGAAGAATGATTTTGGGTGGCTGGTAGCGAGGAGGCAGCAAGGAGGATGGTTCTAAGTGGCTGAAACAGCAGCAAGGACTCAAGAGGAAAGATTCTAGGTGAGAGGCAGCGGGGAGGGGCAAGTTGGGAAAGCAAAAAACTGCAAGAAACAATCAGGATGTGGCTATTGAGGCAGCTGCAAAGAGGAATATGTGGCAATGAAGCAAGAGGGATGTGGAAAAGTTGGAAAGAATAAATACAATCTCAGGAGCGAGATATAGTCGGAGCATCACCTGACCCCTGGTGGATAATCACTACCAAAGAACGGATATAGTCGGAGCACCACCCGACCTCGGATATGACCCTAAAAGGGAAAACAAGGGATGTCGACGACTGTCCTGACAGAAACACAACCGAAAAAGTTGAAAACCTAAAACAAAAAAAACACATATTTAAGCCCTAGATAAATAGGATTGGGTCCCTCCATGGAAAGGAAGCATCAATCCCTAATGAAATGGTCAATCGGCTCTCCCAAGTCTGGACTAGCTCGTTACAGATTTTCTGGAACGCGAAAGGTCTCCCACACTGGTGAAATCCCGTGCCCACACGCTCATTCCCGTGTCATTCCCCCACTCCCACATTCGTGACTTCTGCGCCCAAGCTCCCACGTCAATGACATAAGCTAGTAAAATCAACATTCTTCAAAAAATATTTTCCTACTTCAAAAAACAAAAATGAGCTCTTAAGCTGCACTAAAGATGAGGACTACAATAAAAAACAAAGATGGAGAAAAAAAAAATCATACCTTGTCCAAATCCAAAAATCCCTTCCTTTTCATACTCTCCAACAAATCCAAACAGTCTTTCAATCTAACATGAAGCATTTCAAGTAATTTAGAGATATAGTTTCACTGAAAGAGGGAATTATAAAACAAGAAATGAATAAACTCATGATCATTCTTATTTGAACTCATCTGAAAATTTTGAAACTGCTTCTTACAAAATAGCAAGTGTAAACAAAAGAATTTACAAAACCATGCTCAGACTCTACCTTGTATCCCTTAATAAACATTCATAGGTTCTTAAGCAAGTTTTGATGCTGCTTGAACCTTTTATAAGACCTCCATTTGGTTGAAAGAATCTAGATGAGTCTTTTATATCTTTTTTCCATATCAGACTTCTATCAATATCATGTGTAGAGCGAAGGCGATCGGGTCTTTCCATCTTATTACTATTGCAAGCTTTATTAAAGCACCAAAAAAAGACCTGTCGTTCTGAAAAATCAGAATTTGCTGTAATAAATTACTAAAAAAGCAGTCAGATCAAAAGTAAAACCTTTTGTCACAAAAAGTGACCAAAGTACCAAACGCGATATGTATAGGCTAAATATGCAAAAAAAGATAAAAAAACTGCATCAATAAGCAAGTTCTGAGCTTAACCTGCAAGTCTTGAAGAATCTTTCTCAAGGACTTCTGCCTCCTTCACTGAATGCTTGAGGTCATAATAACCACTGTCACTCCGAAGAATGAAATTGAAAGTTTTATTGTTCAAGCTATTAAAGCATGATAAAGACCTGAACCCAATTTGTTCTTTTTCACAATCATAAGCCTCTTTGGCAGACTTATGGTGATCTACACTGTGGTTTGAATCCAAAAGCTCACTGTCATTAGCAATATGTTGTTGCATCCCATTACAATTATTTTGACTGGATTCCCTTTGATTGCTCTTAACTGGGAGCACAAAAAAATTAGATATGTGAAAAGCCTGCAAAGACTGCAAGTTACTACCTGAAAGAGCTTTTTCTTGCTTTCCTGGCAAGATGTCTGGCTTATCCAAAACAAGACTACCTGTCTCCCTTGATAAAACTTTGGTTTGGGCCAACATACTAGCAGTTGGGAAAAGAGTAACAGGTTGATCAACTCGATGCAATTCTTTATTTAACACATCTAGAGATAACCCTGTTGTCTGAGAGTTCAAGAGTTCATCATCTTTACAAACAAAGGTATGATCCTTTGTCGTAGAAATTTCTTCGGGGTATCTACAAGCAACATTCATTCTATTGCAAATAGAAGGCAATTTATAAAGGGCTTCACTTGACAAAACCTGTTTCCGAGTGCATTCCTTCTCTGGAATGTCAATGTCATGGGACTGCTCGCTGCACACCAAAACATCAGAGATTTCCTGTTGCAAACACTACAGATATAGAAAAGAATGATGATTAGTTAAATTTCGGTGTTTAACTTAAACTTAGATAACTAATTTCATATTTCCAATTACCGATTGGAATAAATTATAAATAAAGCATAGTAGTGGCAAGCACACGCAAGTGGAGTATATAAAGGCAGCCAACAACCACCACTAAGCTCTAGCTCAAAAATATCTATTAATCGGCATGGTATAGTGAAAAGCAAGAAGAAAGAGAAGTAGCGGAATATGAATAAAGCTGCTGCTATAATGTTCTTCATAACTAACAGCAATGCCTTAATTCTAAAACCAGATAAAGTTAGATGAGAGGTAAAGAGCGATGATGGCACACAAAATGAAATTAAAAAAAATCAAATGCTTCTTAGAAATCATTAACAGGAGCCAAAAATGGAGAGGAATAGCTACACATACTAATACATTAATAAAGAATTTAAGAAGAAAACATTTATTAAAATTTTAATATAAACTTCCTCATTTAACTTTTGATACATTTATTACATCTTTTGTGTTTTCTCTTCTACTCAGGAGAATGAAGCATGCAAACTAACTTCTACATGGGGGTAAATTTGATCAGCTTATGGAGGTGCAAAGTCGGAGATCTTCCAAGAGGACATAAAAATAGGCAAAACTTGCAAGGGAAAGTAAAGAGCGCTCACAGAAATATAAAAACTCCGACCAAAATAGGGGCATTAGTGATATTCCATATCAAAGCAATTCATTTCAGAATGGCAGTTGTGAGAAGAGGACATTTTAAGGAATATATAAAATTATCAGTTACACAAAGTGATTAATTTGCATCCATTTTGACGTGGATGTACATAGAGTTGTTCAGTTGTGTAAGTTGCGATGTAGTGGTTATGAGTTCAAGTCAAAGAATACTCTTGCAAGGGAAAGCTGATGTACATCAACATCTAACCAGGCCCCCCCTCAATATGAAGTAGCATCATACCCATGCATTTCAGTTTCTCAGATTATATATCGATAAACAAGGATATTAATAAGTGCAGAACATGTTCATCTTTCCAAAGCTATAATTTTTATGTTTGGCTCATGAAAACAGACACTTCCTTCTTTTGCCTAACAAAGGATGATCTGAAATATTTAAATTTTACTTTGTTAGGAAAGATTCAATGTCAACCAAAAATTTTAAAAAGGAAAGCAATAAACAATTGATAACTTCTATGGCCAGTTAAGTCAACGTCCATCAGGTGTAATGACATCCGATATTCCCATAGCAAGAGCTATCCTCTTCTCTCTAAAATTGATGGGTGGTTGGGTGAATTTTGGTTGTTATAAGTCATGATTTACATTCTATTTTAAATAATACAACGAAACATCAGTGCATGGCTGCATCAACACCCCACCATCAATGTCGAATGTTATGTCAAACAGGCGTGAGCAATTTTGAAGAGGTGATGACTAAAACCACCTACATGCATCAGTCACTCACTATAGGACTGAGTGTGAGGATGTTGACAGCCTGCCTTTCGTTTTGAAAAGCACTGAAGAATCGTTTGGGAGGGCGCTTTTCTCCTGCCTTTCATTGTCGCCCATTTTCAGAACGGCGAAACGCCAAACGCCGAATGTAGTTGGCTGCCTCCGTTTCGCGATAGAAATCACAATCTGGGTGAAAAAATATCATCCTAATCCTTTACAATTCGGTAAATCTCTCCATATATCCCCAACAATACAATTTAGGCCCTTTTCCCTCCATTCAGCTTTAGGAAAAATTTACAGTTCTTTGGCCCCTTTCTCCTCCATTCATCTTCATTGCTTCTGCCTCTCGCTGCCTCTCTATATGTACAAATTTTCATCTTCCTTTCTTAGTTTCCAGCTGTGGTGGTGGTTTGATGCTTTCTGTTTTACCTAAGTGTTTTTCTTATTATCCTTCTCAGTCTTCCTCTCTCTTGGTGGTTTGGTGCTTGTCATTTGAGATTGTAAATGGTGGTGTCGATGGGGTTTTCCTGTTGTCCTCCGTGATAGTGATATGTTACTTTCCGTTTCACCTATTTATTTTCCCTATTGAGCTTCTCGGTTTTCCTCTCTTTTGGTGGTTTGTCCTTGAGGTGGTATTGATGGGGCTTCTGGGTTATCCTCTGTGGTGGTGGTAAGTTGCTTTCCGTTTTAACTATTTATTTTCTCTGTTGAGTTTTTCAATTTTCCTCTCTATTGGTGGATTGGTGCTTAAGGTGGTGTCCATGGAGCTTCCCGGTTGTCCTTTGTGGTGGTGGCATGTTGTTTTTTACACATTTGTCTTTCCTGTTGAGCTTCTTGATATTCCTCTTTGTTGGTGGTTTGGTACTTGAGGTGGTGCCAATGGGGCTTCCCAGTTGTCCTCTGTGGTGGTGGTACGTTGCTTTTCGTTTTACCTATTTGATTTCACTGTCGAGCTTCTCGCTTTTCTTTATGCTAGTGGTTTGGTGCTTGAGGTTGTACCGATGGGGTTTTTCAGTTGTCCTTTGTGGGTATGTTGCTTTCCATTTTATGTATTTGGTTTGCCTATTATGTGGTGGTGGGGGTTTGGTGTTTGTCGCTTGAAATTGAAATGATTGTGCCCTTAAGATTTTTGTTTTTCCTCTCTGTGGTGTTTTGGTTCTTGTCATTTGAAATGTGAATGGTTGCTTAAAAGAGAATTTACATGCACATAACACAAGTCTTATTCATGTACATATCTAGCATGTAAAAATTATTTATGTAAATCATTTTGATCACATAAGATATATAATGAATTTTCACCAGGTAAATTGAGTTTCACTCGCTTTTTCTAACATTGAATTGTAGCAAAATGATTTACCAACCAATTTATTTCCAGTATGACATCAAAAGTTTGAATTGGTATGATAATCAATTTTGTTTGCAGCTTCTTATCATGAATATCAACAAGCACAACACATTTTCTATTTGCATAAAAACTACTTCCTGAAATCATAATGACACAAAACAAAGGTAAAATACATAATATCAACATGTAAACTGACAGCAAATTCGTCAGAAATAAAGAATGTGAAGCATCTGAATCGAATAGAATAATACTAGGCGGATCTTGAATCAAAAGCGTACTTGTAATCACTTCCTCATATTCTTTGGCTCCCTGAGAGGTAATTGCAAAAACTCGAGCTTTTATTGGCTTCTCGGTTCTACGCTTTGAAGTTTCACCATTTGCTTGCATTGAAACCTTTCCCAAAAATTGAGTTTTGTTGAACTGACTCCTTCCAAAAATTTCCTGGGACGTCCTTGTCTTAAATTGTCTGCGGTCTGATGTCTCTTTTTTTTTTTCTTGCGGACAGTTTATTTGAATATGCCCCGGTTACCCACATTTATAACATTTTTCAAAACCAATTAAACATTGCCCAAAATGTCTTTTTTCTCATTTTTCACAAATTAGTTTTTCTGTCTGTGGCTACTTATGCTTACCTTCTAAGTTAATTTTTTTTTCTTTGAAAGTATTCTCCTTTGCCATAATCCTTTTGTTTGCTTCTCTGAGGTTGTCATTGGTGACTGAAGAAATTCAACTCTTTTTCAATTCTTCTGGCTCTTTCAACGAGCACTAAGAAATCATTTATTTTAAATGGAATCAAAGATAACCTCAACTGATCATTGAGACTGTGCAGAAATCTATGGCATTTTTCCTCCTAGGTGTTCACATAATGAGTTGCATATTTGAATAAAAGAAGTGAATTATGCCTCATATTGCATAATTGATCTAGACCCCTAAGTCAAATTGAAGAAATTATCTCGCAGCGCTAATCTCACTGAAGACGAAATAAATCAATCTTTAAAGACTTTAAAAAATTCATCCCACAAAATATCTGGATAAGATGTTAGCTGAAATTTCTCTCTATGTTGCACCTTCTAGCATGAAAGTGGCTAACACCACTCTCCGATTTTCAGGACAAATCACACCATCCAGAATTTTTTCGATCCTCGGTAACCAATCTTAAGCAATCATAGAGTCACTGACACCCTTGAATGTCGGCGGCTTGAATGTCTAAAATATCTTCAAATGTCGATCTACTTCTGCCCTAGTTTCAGATCTCAGTTTTGTACTAGTGGATGATCATTATCATTCACTTTGTTGACCACTTGTGATATTAATTGAACAATCTCTTGTAGCTCAACTGCTCTAGTTTCCTCATTTGCTCTGTTTTGATTATCATTTCTGCCAAAAGTATTTTCATATCTTACTTCTTGCTCTGCACTTGGCATAAGAGATTGGTCCTCAGTACTTTCTGATTCTCCTTCAGACATATTTCTCTATACTACCAAACCATTATTATTCAAATACAACTTATCATATAAAAATTATATCGTGCATGCATGATATCTTAAGTCGTATGGGTTATCCATCTCAAATTCATCAACCTATAGCTTCATATAAATCAATTTAGATTTGATCTAATTCTTCTTCTAAATCCAACATGCTTTCATCATTCTCTTCAGACAATAACCAAGCTCTTATACCACTATTTGTCACACCCCAACTGGCCCCTTATAAAAGTCAATTGAGATGCAATAGAGGCGGACAATTCGTCTGGTCTAAATTCTCACCAATATTCATCCTGACTAAAAAATCTGGACCCAATGAGTGATGAAGCAAGCTAATTAAATCATCACAAACATATGTGATACATTGCATTTCAAATATCACAAGTATGAATCATAGAAAATTAACACATTCAGGCAATTAATATCATAAGCAAAGTCATATGTATCATTGCATGATCATAACATAATAATATCGCATGTATCATAGGAAGAAATCAGCTACATTCATACATTCAATGCAAATACTCATTTACAATATTCAGGAATTTCTAAATGAATCAATGTCAAACGATAAATCATATAAAAATCTATAGAAGATTATTTTTCTTAAATAAGAACAAATTTATTTTATCCGACTTAACAGAGCATTCCTACGACAAGTTTCCTTGCACTCACCTTGAGCTTGTTGCCTCGTGTAAACAACTTGGTATTCTTAGGCAACT